CACCGGCGTCACACGCACAGCCACTTCCGCCATACGCAGAGACGCTTCTTCCGGCTCAGGACGCATTTTCCGCAGGGCCGGCGTCCGGGAGTTCTCGGAAGTGGCTGGCTCGCGGGTTTCCGGTACGGGTCAGGAAAGATGGCGGTGGCGACCGTGTTCCCGGCTCTATCGCGGGTGAGGAGAGTGGCTGTCCTACGGTACTGGGCTGGCCACCGTGAGGACTCAATTTCGTCTTCTTCTTCAGTCTTGGAGACCGCGAGGGACATCCAACTGCCTGATAGCCCAGGGCAAGGGCAGGTCCAAGGAGAGGTTGATGTTGCAAATTAGTAGATGCAAGTCGCGTCCACCCTTTCCTGAGCCCACTGTGTGCCTGTCTTGTAGTACCGTTGAACGATCAGGCTTCCTTCCAGACCCAACTCGGACTTCACCTATTTCCCCGGTGGAGCTGGCCAGATCGCCTCTGGGCGCCCCTTCTCTCAGTTCTTAAGTCTCTCTGCTTTTAAGTCTTCTCTAATACCTATCATTTCACACCGCACTCTAAGATCTTCTTATTTTAATGTAGGTGTTTACCACTGTAAACGTCTTAGTACTGCTTTTTGCTGCATCTCATACTATTTTGGATGTTGTGTCTTTTGTCTCAAAATATTTTCTAATTTACCTTTTGATTTTTTCTTTGATCCATATGAACCATTAGTTTTAAGAGTGTGTTGTTTAATTTTCACATATTTGTGTATTTTCCAGTTTTCTTTCTACTGTTGATTTCTAGTTTTATTCCGCTATGGTCATAAAAGATCTCCTATAATTTCAGTCTTAGACTTGTTCTGTAACTTAATGTGAACTATCCTGGAGAATATTCCCGGTGTACTTGAGAAGAATGTGTATTCTTGCTGCTGTTGGGTGGAACGTTCTGTATATGTCTGTTAGGTTCATTGGCTCTATAGTGTTATTCAAGTCCTCTGTTTCCTTAATGATCTTCTGTTTGGATGGTCTATCTACGTTTGAAAGTTGGTTGATGAGATCTATTATTGTGTTGCTATTTGCTTCATATATTTGGGTGCCCTGATGTTGGTTATAATGTTTATAATTGTTATATCTGCCTGGTAAATTGGCCCTTTCATCATTACATATGGTCCTTGATCTCTTGGCAGTTTTTGACTTAAAGTCTATTTTTTTCTGATATAAGTAGGGGCATCTCTGCTTACTTTTGGTTACCATTTGCATGGAATATCTTTTCTCATTTCACTTTCAACCTATGTATAGCTTACATCTAAAGTGAATCTCTTGTAACAATATAGTTAAATCTTGTTTTTTTTTTTTTTAAATTTTTATCCAGCCACTCTATTATGTATTTTGGTTGGGGAGTTTAATATATTTACATTTAAAATAATTACTGATAGGGAAGAACTTAATATTTCTATTTTGTTGTTTTCTGCATATATTGTAGCTTCTCTGTCCCTCTTTATCTCTTTTGCTGTTATCTTTTGTGTTTCATTGATTTTTTTTTTGTAGAGACATGCTTTGATTCCTTTCTGATTTTCTATTGTGTATCTTCTATAGATACTTTCTTTGTGCTTACTGTGGGGTTTACACAAAATATCTTATATTCTATTGTAAGCTGGTAACAGTTTAACTTCAATCTCATACAAAAACTGCTCTTTAACTCCTTCCCCCTTTATATTATTGATGTCACAATTACATATTTTTATATTATGTATCCATTAACATAGTTTTTTGAAAATTTTTGTTTTTACTTCCATATCAGTATAGAATTTATGCACCACCATTATAAGATTACAGTATTCTGTATTTGTTACATATTTACCTTTATCAGTGAGCTTTATGCTTTCATATGCTTTTGCGTTGCTGTCTAGTGTGCTTTAAATCTTTTGGGCTTTTTGAATTTGAATGTTCATTTCTTTCCCTGGATTTGGTAAGTTTTGGGCCATTATTTATTCAAATGAGCTTTCTGCTCCTTTCTCTCTTCTTCTGGTTCTGGGACTCCTATAATGTGTGTAATGGTCTGCTTTATGATATCCCATAAGTGCCTTGGGTGTACCTCACTCTTTTTCATTCTTTTTTCTTTTTCTTCCTCTGATGGGTAATTTCAAATGACCTGTCTTTGAAGTTACTGACTCCTTCTGTTTGGTTCTTTTTAATATTTCTCTTGGTCGATATTCTCATTTTGTTCACACATTGTTTTTCTGAGCTCATTGAATATCTTGATAGCAGTTATTTTGAATTCTTTGTCAGGTAATTCATGTACCTCTTTAGAGTTGATTTCTGGAGATTTATTTTGTTCCTTTGATTGAGCCACGTCTCCTTGTTTTTTCTCATCTTGTGAAACTTTGTGTTGGGACTCACGCATTTGAAAAAATAGCCAACTCTCCTAGTCTTTTTGTACTTACTTTATACCAAGAGACCTTCACCAATCAGCCTTACTAGAGATTCCGAAGGTCTTTCAGTTCTTTTGAATGGATATGTATTTTTTGGATTTGTGCATGTCAGTTCCCAATGAGAAGAATTTACTGGCTTCCTTTGTCAGGAGCACATAATCTTTTGCTTCCTCTGTGTCTGTCTGTGGTACTGCAGGTTCTTGAGTTGCCACAAGCCTCCTAGCTCTTTTGTTTTCAGCCCCCAGGCTTCTATTGTATCCCAGGTCCCATACAGGGAATTGGTCCGAGTATTGCTGTGGAGTTGCTCTCTCTGTGAGAGGAGAATGTGGGGCTGCCTATTTGCCATCTTGCCGATGTCACCACTGTCTCATCACATCTTAATAATTTTTGCCTTTCTTTAGATTGGGAGCCCTTGGGGGATTAGGGTCTATGCCATCACTGTACGCTCAGATTTTAACACAAGCAAATGACTGGAATACAAACTATACCATAAGAATTTTAAGGGACTGCAAAAGAAGGAAAAAATATTTCTACTGGAGAATTTCTAGAAGGGCACTGGTTAAGAACATGTTTACAGTTAGAGCTAGGTTTCACTTCTAACTGCAAGTTACTATTTGGGTGAACTTGGTAAGTTTTTAACCTCTCTAAGCCTTGACTTCCTGAGCTGTGAAGTGGGGTCAGTAACAGTATAACTTCTTAAGGACTAAATGAGAAGGAATGCATTTTATACCTAGTGTGTTGAATGAATGGCAGTGATATTCTTTGCTGTTATAAAGATGTTCGTGGTTTGTTTCAGATGCTTGCTCTATCAAGGTGCCGCGTAGTATCTCCTCTGCTCAGTACAACATCATTCAAACGCTTCTACATCGGTGACAGCCCAACAGATTCCCAAAAAGATATGATTGAAATCCCTTTGCCTCCATGGCAGGAGCGAACTGATGAATCCATAGAAACTAAAAGAGCCCGTCTGCTCTATGAGAGCAGAAAGAGAGGAATGCTGGAAAACTGCATTTTGCTTAGGTAGGGGAACGTGAGTCTTGGTATCACTTTTCTTTGACTGGAAACAGCCTCTCAACTTCTTTCTCTTTCCTTTTTTAGCCTCTTTGCTAAAGAATATCTGCACAACATGACAGAGAAACAGCTGAACCTCTATGATCGCTTGATTAATGAACCCAGTAACGACTGGGATATTTACTACTGGGCTACAGGTACTGATAAGCGGCATAATGTGAAAAATAGGATGATTTGGGCTGATTTGAGTCTGGAATTATAACCTAGGCATTTTTTTTTTTAAATTCATATAATAGACACTCAACCCAAATACTCTTCAAATTTTTCCAAAGTGTACCAAATTTATTAGTTAAGATTCTTTGCAAGCAGTAGAAATCTATTCTGGGTAACTTAAGCAAAAGTGGAATTTAGTGAAATTATATGAGAAGCTCACAGTATTAGAGGGAAGGTTGGAGGAAAACTAGACTGGGAATGGAGTAGAACCAGACGGCTCTATAATCTGCAGAGCAGGAGTTCTTTAGTAGTCCCATTCTGGCACTGCCTTTGAGGAACGAATTCTCACTGTGTTTAGTTAGGACTAGCTTTGACTGTGAGTGAAAAAAAAAATACAAAACACAATAGTTTTAAGCAAGACAACCATATTTCTCTATCTCATAACAGAAGTCCAAGGTAGACATATAGAGGGGTTTCAAAAAGTCACGAGGTCCAGATTCCTCTTGACTTGCTACTCCTTCATCCCTAACATGTGTTGTCTACCTTATGATCCAAGGTGGCTGCTGGGGCTCTATCTGTCATGCCTATATTTCAGCCAAGAAAAAAGTATGTAGAAGAGCACACCCATTCTCTATGGATCCTCAGGAAATTTTACACCATACTTCCACTTAGTTTCCATTGGCCACAGTTTAGTCACATGACTACACCTCACTATAAGGAAGAAATAATATAGTCTATTCCATATGTCCAACTAAATTGGGGATTCTGTTACCAAGGAAAAAGCGGGAGAATGGATATTAGGGGATAGCTCATCCATTTCTGTCACACTCTGAGTCTTCTGTTTTTGTTTTCACTCAATATTTGTATCATAAAATTGAAGCCATTCTGTAGGTTCCAAGTATAAAACGTGATAATGGATTATGCTTTTGGTATTATGTCTAAGGATTTGCCCAATCTAATGTTACAAAGATTTTCTCTATTCCAGGAATTTTATAGTTTGGAATCAGCTGTTCAGTTTCTCAAAAAAAAAAAAATCCTACTTGGATTTTGATTGGGCTTGTGTTAAATCAGTAAATGAATCTGGGAAGATTCTTTCAGCAATTTAGAATTGTCTAGTCTATGAACTTGCTGTATCGCCATTTATATAGGTCTTATTTGATTTCTTTAATCAGTATGTTATCTATTGCTTAACAAATTATTTTAAAACTTACTGGCTTAAAACAACCTACATTTATTTATTATCTCATAGTTTCTGTGGGTCTGGAATCCAGGCATGGTTTAGCTGGTTCCTAAGCTATAGTCTTTCACAAGGTTGCAGTCAGGGTATCCGCCCAGGGTCTGGGTCTCATCTGGAGGCTCAGCTAGGGGAGGATCTGCTTCAAGCTCTCGCTGGTGTTGGCAGATTTGGTTCCTCATGGCCTCTTCAGTCCTTGCTAGCTGTTGCCCAGAGGCTATCTTCTGTTCCTTGTTACAAGGGCCTCACCCACATGGCAGCTTGCTTCCTCAAGTGTGCAAACCAGGAAGGGAACAGAGTCTACTAACAAGATGGAAGTCTCAGTGTTTTGTAACCTAATCACATCAGTGACATTCTATCATATTTGCCAGATTCTGTTGGTTAGAATCAAGTCGTTAGGTCCAGCCACATTCAAGAATAGGGATCACACGAGGACGTGATAGCAGGAGGCAGAGATTGTTGGGGCCCATCTTAGAATTCTACCCTCCACAATCAGCATTTTATAGTTTTCAACATATTTTGCAGATTTATAGCTAGGTATTTAAATATTTTGGTGTTATTATAAATGGTACTTCATTTTTTTTCAATTTTGCATTGTTGGTAGGCTATAGAAATACAATTGATTTTTGTATGCTGACTTTGTATACTGTGACCTTGCTAAACTCAGTTCTAGAAGCTTTTTTATGGATTCTTTGGGATTTTTCTATGTAGACAGTTGTGTCATCTGTAAACAGGAAGTTTTCTTGTTTTCCAATCTGTATGCTCTTTAAGTCTTTTACTTGCCTTATTGTGCTGTTTAGGACCTCCTGTGTAATGTTGAACAGCAGCATTGAGAGCGAACATCCTTGCCTCGTTCCCAGTATTAGGGGGGAAATATTCAGTTTTTCACTATTAAATATGTATAAATGTTGAATTTTGTCAAGAGCTTTCTAGTCATCTCTAGAGATGATAATTTCTTAGTGATGTGATTTTTTTCTCTTTGGTTTATTGAGATGATTGATTGATTTTCAAATATTTAACCAACCTTGCATTCCTAGGGTAAACACCACATGGCATGATATGTATTGTTTGATTTAATTCACTAATATTTTGGAGAGCATTTTGTATCTGTCTTCATGAGGGTGTTGGTGTGTAGTTTTCTTGGAAGATGAATCATCTGGTTTTGATCAGGGTGATACTGGCTTCATAAAATGACTTGTGAAGTACTCTCTCCTCTTCCATTTTCAGGAAGGATTTGTAGAGAATTGGTATTATTTCTTCCTTAAACATTTGATAGAATTTGCTAGTGAAGCCATCTGGTTCTGGGAGTTTTTTCGTTGAAAGTTTTAACTGTAAAGTCAAATGTTTTTTAATAGATATGGGACAATTCAAGTTATCTATTTCTTCTTGGATGAGATTTGTTAGTTTGTGTTTCCCAACAAATTTGCCCACATCACATACATTGTTGAATCTATGGACATAAAGTTGTTTGTACCATTCCCTTTTTATTTTAATGTCTGAAGAGCTGTAGTGAGGTTCCTCACTTATTTCTAACATTGGTAAACTGTAGACTTTTTTTTTTCTTGATAAATCTGACTAGAAATTTATCAATTTTATTAATCTTTCCGAAGAACTAGCTTTTGATTTCATTTGTTTTCTCTATTTTTCTGTTTTCAATTTCATTGATTTCCGCTCCTATCTTTATTATTTCCTTTTTCTGTTTGTGTTGGGCTCATTTGCTCTTCTTTTTCTAGTTTTCTAAGGCGGAAGCTGAACTGTTGACTTGAGACTTTCTTTTTTAGAAAAACATTTAAATTTCCCTCTAAGCACTGTTTTAGCTTCACGTTACAAAGTTAGATGTGTTATGTTTTCATTTCATTTAATTAAAAATATTTTCTAATTTTCTTTGTGACTTTCTCTTTGACTCATGAGTTATTTAGAAGTATGTCTAATTTTCAGATATTTCTAGATTTTCCAGATATTTTTCTGTTATTGATTCCATTGTGACCACAGAATGTATGTTGTATAATTTTGGTTCTTTTAAATTTCTCAGAATTTGCTTTTTGGCCTGAGATGTAGGTATCTTGATAAATGTTTCACGTGCATTTATTCGAATGCAACTTGTGTTCTGCACTTACACATGAAGTGTTCCATAAATGTCAACTAGGTCAAGTTGATTGATATTGTTCTTCGTGTCTTATGTATCCTGACTGATTTTCTCTGTACTTGTTCTATCAATTAATAAGAGAGGAGTATTGAAATCTCCAACTATAATTGTGGATTTATTACTCCTATCAGTTCTCTCAGTTTTTGCTTCATATATTTTGAATCTGTTATTACATAAAGACATATGTAAGATTGTTATATCTTCTTGATGAATTGATTCCTTTATCATCATGTAATATCTGTCTTTATTGCTAATAATAATATTCCTTGTTCCAGAGTATCTGTTAGTAA